TTGTTTCCCTCCCTTCCTTATGAACCCTTGATAATTTATAAATTATCTTTTTCATGTCTTACACCCACCACTGTCTCCCTTCATTTTTCTGTTGTTCGCCCCCCCTGGGAGAGGGTTATATGTCGATCATTATGATCGGTTTCCCCCCTTTCCCCACATTCCCCTTCCCCTCCTGGTATCACTACTCTCAATATTGGTCCTGAGGGGTTTATCTGTCCTGGATTCCCTGTGTTGCAAACTCTTATTTGTACCAGTGTACTTGCTCTGGTCTAGCTGGATTTGTAAGGTAGGATTGGGGGGGCGGGGGCATTAAAGACCGCGAGCATTCTTGAAGACTAATACACCACTCTTTGAAGAAAGAAATACGATTATTTTGAGAATGTACAACGGGAATATTGTTGATCTGTATTGGGTTCAAGTAAGCCATCCCTGTGTTTTGACTGAGAACTGCAGTAACAAAGAAAGAAGAAGTGTGGCCAGCAATGGATTCCCTTTACAAGGCCCTTAATTGGAAGCGAACAGGGCAAGCCCAGAGAAAGCAGGTAGAGAAGATATGGTAGTGGAGGTGAAGATCAGAGACTGTACAGGTCTTTGTAGGACACCTTACTGAGAAATGAGTTCTCTACTTGAGAACAGAGGAACTTATTAAAATTCTTTAATAAAAGATTCACATTTTTACAAGATTCCTCTGAAAGCAGTGGGATGAACAGAATAAAATAGGTCTAGAGTGGACTGGAGGGAACAATTTGAGATGGTTTTGAAGTATTGTTGGGAGGAATGATTGTCAGAGTGACTGAAGAGGAAATGAAAGAAATCACAGGAGATTGAAGATAACCTTAGTAGGTCAAATTCTCTAGAGTTGATAGATTGCATACCAAAGATCAGAAGTTTGTCATAGGCAGATGACTTTCAGATTGCTGGCTTTCACACCAGGAAAGCTCTGGTGTATTTACTAACGTAGAAAATATCAGAATGAGGACCAAGGATGAGCGGTGGGGATATAAGTTAAGTTTTGGACCTCTTGAATATAAGCAGTTCTTAAGCAATTTATGAGCAAGAACAGAGACAGTAGCTAATAATAAGAAAATGTGTGAGAGACTTAAGCATGGGTAAGTGATGAAAAGAAGGAAGGATTCGATAGAGAGGGATCCAAAATTGTGTAAGCTTCTAGAACTAACACTAGGAAGAAGAAATTGGGAAGCTATGCCTGAAAACAATTGACCAGTGAAAATCTTAGGAATAGCGACAGTCCCAGAAGCTGAGCCCTCTCACATTAGGACTACACCTGGGGAAGAGCTACCTCTTCAAGATAGATTTGACTCTAATGACATAGAAGGCGTAAAGCTTTCATGGCCTTCATTTGTTGCTTCTCAAAATGAGAATAAACACCTGTTAGCATCCATTAATAGCATGAAATTAGAATGTACAAAGCATGACTCTAAGAAAATTGGAAATTGTCAAAAGTGAAATGTAATGCTTAAAAATAAATAGCCTAGGCGTTAATGAGCTGAAATGGTCATTTTGAATCATTCAGTTGTATGATTTGCTAGGCAAAAAACATGTCAAATTGAAGAACAACAACATCAAATTCATTGTCAAGAAGCAAACAAACATCTCAAAATTTATCCTGAAATACAATGTTGTCAATAATTGGAGAATGACTGTTCTTGCAAGGACAACCATATCTAAGTGGAATAAATACTAGAGGCATGATATTTCTAGTATTTTCACAAGGAAAAAGAAAGAGGGCAATGTAAATATAAATAGGTACTTAGTACATGGAAGCTGGTTCCCCCGCGGGATGGGCCTGTCATTTACTGAAAGGACTCGTATGTGGGGAAAAGGAGCAAGAAGCAGTAGCTTGAGGAGAATGGAGATTTGAAATAGTTAAGGTGGCTGGTGAATTGAGAAGCTTAGTGGGATTTTTTCCGGCTGTGTTGACAAGATTTAATGAATATTAATCTCGTCTTAAGTCAGCTTTGATCAGAAACAGCAAGAAAGTGGCCTCTGCGCTATAAACTTTTGGTAATAGCATCAGTTTGCCAAGACCTAGTGCAAATGCACCATTCCAGTGCTATTAATATAGCCACTATATATTTTTATTGTAGTAGTAGGTGATGTCACTTAACTTTTCTGGTTGTTTGTGTTGCTCAGGCCTAGTTTGTTTCTAATTGATGTCCCTTTTCTTTTCTAGGCAGGCAGAAGTCCTGAAGGCTGACATGACAGGTATGGGCTGATTTATCTGTTTTGCGCATATTTCTTACCAGTCAGTTAAGGGAAGGATAACCTCTTTTCAGGAGCCTGGGTGATAGAAGCAGTTGATTGGTTGCTAACCTAAAGGTTGGTAGTTGTACCCTCTCAGCAGCTCCATAGAGGAAAGAACTGGTGAACTGCTTCTATAAAGATTAGTGCCCCCCAAACCCAATAGAGCAGTTCATGTCTCTGGGGCTTTCCATGATTCACAGGTGACTAGCAATGGGTTTGTTTTTTACTTTTCCTCTTTCCTATATTGCTTATAATACTAAATAATATTTTACTCCCCCCACCCAAAGAAAAAAAACAAACAAACACCTGATAACACTGTTTTCTTTAAATTTGTTGTCTGTATACTTCTAGAATTATAGACTAATGCTATGCAACATCATGGGTGATTTTATTGTCATCTTGTTCAAAGAAGAAGAGGTGGTGGGTGGGGAGTCAATAAGCTTACCTAGTTACCTAGTTTAGCTCTCAGTTCCCAGTATTAACAGATGTTTCATCTTCAGTGCCAGCTTGAATCTATTGTATTGGCATTGCTAAACGTAATCTATTTTAGGACAAACTGTACATGGGGCAGCAGCAGGTTGTCACTGCCATTTAAGCGTCAAACAACCTCAAACCTCCGTACAATGGTTTTGGGTTTGACTTTTATAGGGATATTTGATTGGCCAGAGAAATTAATTAAGATATTTAGTCTTATTTTAATGGTGATTTACTTGATTGTCTGATAGACCAGAGTCAACGATCCCTTACAGTCCCTTTTCTGCCATCAATAAACTGAAGCATAATTGAATAAATCTATAAGTGCATGTATTTAGTGATCAGAAATTTAATAAGGAACCAAGAATTAAAGGCTAGACTGTATTATTAACTAACCCACAAACTCTTTTTACCATTAATGCAAATGTCTAGGAGATTCTGTATAGGATTCTGGTGGTGATAGATACTAGTAACAAGCCTACAGAAAGGTACCGATTATGCCACTGAGTATTAACAAACTCCTAAAATTCAACTTCATAGCATAATTAGCTATTGAAAATAAATCTAAAATTCCATCAATAAGTTCTGGGGCATCACAGTCAGTTATTACACCCTTAAACCTAGTAATGAAGGTTAGTGTGCCTTACAGAACTCCGGCATACAATGCAGCCCCAGTCTGGCATATACATGTAATTATAGACTGACTTTTTACTTAGCTCTGATTTCACCTTGTACCATACTTCTCATCTGGCCTCTTGAGCAGTTTAGTCACTGTGTATTCTTAAGCCCTCCTGTGCATTAAATAACAATTTATGTGTGGTTTCCTTACAAAAGTCTTTTGGAAAGAAACCTGCCAGTCATTAAAATAACACAGACTGTCATAATTTTATTGCGTTGACACACACATATCAAAGACAGCAGAATGCCCTAGCAACTGCTTAATGGTGAGCAGATATGAAAGTTTTGTATATACATTTATGAGAATGATTCAAAATTAAATGAGTTGCTTAAAACAGTGTGCTATAGGAGTGCACAGACCAGTTTGACGGTCTATCGTCAAATGGGCCATATGTAAAGTATATGGTTTCCTATGTTATAAATAGGTAGAAATCCAAACCAAATATAGGTGAACTAATTCTATCTTTAAAATCACTGTTATTTTCAAAACTTGAAGAAAAATTTGCAAATATTTAAAAACCAGATCTAGTCATTAGCCAACAGGGTAAAAAGTCACTTAAAATTTCTGTAGCAGTGGAGGCAGGGAGGGAGGGGGGAAAATGAGAAGCTGATCCCAAGGGCTCAAGTAGAAAAAAATGTTTTGAGAATGATGATGGCAACAATTGTACAGATATGCTTGACACAATGGATATATGTATGGACTGTGATAAGAGTTATATGAGCCCAAAATAAAATGATATTTTAAAAAACATTTCTGTCGCAGTCTGTGATATACTTAAAGCAGGTTTGCTTTGCAGAGTGGGGATGGAAGGAATGATTAGTGTGAGGGAGTAGTTTGAAGTATCTGCTTATCTCTTCTGTTGGGCTTTTGTTTTCTCAGATTCTAAGCTAGGTCCAGCAGAGGTCTGGACATCCCGGCAGGCTCTGCAGGACCTGTACCAGAAAATGCTGGTTACTGATTTGGAATATGCTTTAGACAAGAAAGTAGAACAGGATCTGTAAGTATTATCATCTGAGAAATCATTTAAGATCAAGAATCTTACCAAGACATTAGAAAAGAACAGTTTGATTGTTATCTTTTAATGTATCTCCAAAAAAGTGTTGTCAATAAAACAAAATTCTAGTACTTGTGATTTTTTTCAAAATATTTGATCATTAGTATCTTTTCCTTTTCAGTCTTGGGAGGCAAGAGGGAAAGTAAGAGGGAATAATATTTAGAATTAAATCTTCCTTGGGTCAGTAGGGCAACTCTTTTACAATTAATTCTGAAAAACAAGTATATCTTTCAAGGACTAAGAGATCACATTTGAATTCTCCATATTCAATCCTACACTTAAGCCAGGATTTTTAAAAGAAATTTAAGAGTGGATTTGGTAAATGTGATTTTATAAATTTCTCTGAAAGAAGAATATGTTTTCCTTCTAAGGAAAATTCTTCCCTTTAATCAAATGAATAGATGTGTCCTATTTTTGTTTTTCCCTCGGATAAGATTAAAGAAAGATGTATGTCTTTAGGCTATTCCACTTATTATTTCTGTGAGGGTGAAATGACAGATGACCAGACTCCTGGGTGAGTAAATAAATGACTTTTTTACGGAAAGCCTGGCCATGTCAATTCAGAGAAGAACATTAATTAACCTGATGGGAAATTCAGAATCAATTAAGACTATTCTGTCTGGTAATGCCCATCACCCTGTGTTGTAATGAAGATTAGTCGTTCCTGTCTTCCACACCGTTCTTGGATCCTTTGTATTTTTTAGGAGATCTAGTAGTAAGAGCTAGATCACAACCAGTCAGAATCCTTATCTGTGCTATTAGAGTCAAGGATGAGATGTCATCAGTGATGAGGAGGGTGTGATTGTCCTTCTAAATCGTTTAAGCCTGTAACCTTTTCTGTCCACCCTAGTTCTCAATTCTGCTTTTGTCTCTGTTTTCTGTGATTGCCGAGGTAGAAAGTGGCTGTTTCAACATAACTGGATTTAAACGGATTGTCTAAATAGCTTGATTAGTAAGAGACATTTTATAACAGGATACCAGGATGCCATTTTCTGGATTTTCATTGTGTGTGTTTTAAATAGGCAAAACTGAAATGTGGCTCGAATTTCAAATTCTAAAGAAAATATTTACTTCTAGGAAAATAATACAACTATTAAATAGAAGCAGAACAGTGTCTTAGGGGAAATAGCTTGTAGAGAAATAAGGTATGGCTTATATTTTACAGTACAGCCTTTCCCCCTTGTTAACAGTTCAGTTAATTGATTTTGGCACAGTATGTTAAGATTGGTTAATAACTTATGTTTACGTTAGCCATGCCCCTTTTATTTTGATTTTGTACTGGAACTCCTAAATAGGCTCTTGCTTTAATAGCTCTAAAAGATTACTCGCTGGAGCTGCAATGTGACTTTTCCAGCATTTGGTGCTAAGGTCAGTTGGATTCTACTGCATGTCTAGTTTTATTTGGACGGGACCATGAAGCTACTTAATACATGAATAACTGTAATGCAGGTTTGGTGTCATCATAACAAACAGTTCTTTCTTGTTCTCGGGACCAGTGTGTCTGCCCAGTGAGTCCCTGCTGTACCAAACAGAATCATATTTTGTTTTCAGCTGGAACCATGCCTTTAAGAATCAGATCACAACACTACAAGGCCAGGCGAAGAATCGAGCAAACCCGAATCGAAGTGAAGTTCAGGCAAACCTTTCTCTGTTCCTAGAGGCAGCTAGTGGCTTCTATACTCAGGTGAGTTCTGCATTTTATACTAATTTTTCTAGAATTGCTGGTGAATGTTTTATTTTTGTACGCTTCTTATTGTTCATACAAGCACTGTGAATACAATCATTAGGAAAGTGGTTGCTATGTTGTGCCGGATAAGAAATTGTCAAAATTTGTGATAAATCAAGTGAGCTGTTCATGCCATAGTATTATCTCTACATTAGGATTTATTTGGAGCTTGAAATGGTATGAAATTACCTTAGAAACAGAACATCTTTTCCCCAGCTTAAATAATAAATTACGCAATTATTCATCTCCGTCCTCAGAGACTTTTCCTTAACTCACTTCCATCCAGGTACAAATTCTAATTCAGGAAATGCAGATGAGAGAAGAAATATAATTTCTGACAGTGCTCTTGCCTTTACTGTATATAGATTCACTTAGAAATCTCCATCTCACCCATTTGTAATAGCATTTGTAATTAATGTAATTTTGGGTATAAGTTAACAAAACAAGGCTGTAAGGGTTTGGCACTAAAATCTTTGGCCAGTTTTCCCTGTGCTGCTGCTTAGCCCTTGTCATCTCTGTTTTGGCTCCTTTATTGTTTCTTAGAATGAAGTAAAAGAATCTCTATTGGAAAATAATAGAGTTAATCACCAACTTGTAGAGATTATTTGTATTTTACTTCACCTGAAACATTAATCATAATTTTTCATGAATAGGAATCCTGTATGGCTATCCGAAGTAGAGTGTTAAAGTGAATTGTACAAGCCTCTGGTAAAGCCTACTTTGTATCAGGCACAGGCGACCGATGCCGTGGGTGACATGCACCGGGCAGCCACTACCTGGGAGAAAGATGAGTTCCAGTCTCAGAAATCCACAAGGACAGTTCTACCCTGTCTTATAAGAGAACTATGACTTAGTATCAACTCGATGGCTGTGAGTTTAGTTTTTTGGCTTATGTATAAGACATAGTACTAGATTGGATAGAGGAACAAGACAGGCTGAAAACCTTCAAGGAAAATTTCAGAATAATGAATAAGAGGGCTACATTTATATCTATTTATATATATGTTTTCTAATTAAAAAAATAATGCATGCTAAGTTTAGGAAATTTGAAAATATAAAAAAGCCCCCTAAAACAAAACACACACACACACACAGAATTAAACATTACAGGTAAATTTCTACTTGAATATACAGCTTTCCAGAGTTTTTAGTTTTTTTTGTTTTACATAGTTAAGGTGATGCTGTGCTATATATATAAACTTGACCTGCTTTATAAACATTATAATGTAAGCATTTCCTTGGATTGTTAAACAGTTTGATGAGCATCTTGTATATATTGCATTTTCTCTGATACTGGGTTGTTTCTCAAGAACCAGTCTTTCAAAGTGGATTAGTGAAAGTAATACTCATATTATTAAGTTGTTTTCCCCACAAGTCTTTTTCCATCATAAGCCTATGAAAGTGCTTATCTGGTTGTGCACCCGCCATTGTTACGTATTTCCAATAAAAGTAAATGAACAAGTGAATAACTTGTGCTAGATAATGTCTGGGTGAATAGGAACATCGTGCACATGTTGTTGTTACGTGCCATCAAGTCATTTTCAACTCAAAGTGGTCTTATGTCAACAGACCAAAATACTGCCCAGTCCTGTACCATCCTCACAATTGTTGTTTGCTTGAGCCCATGCACTACTGTTTAAGTCCACCTTGTTAAAGGCCTTTCTCTTCTTCACTGCCTCTCTGCATTAGCAAGCGTGGTGTCCTTCTACAGAGATTGGTTTCTCATGACAACATGTCCAAAATACTTGAGACAAAGTCTCAACTACCTGGCCTCTGTAGAACATTTTGATTGTACTTCTTCCAAGAAAGATGTGTTTGTTCTTTTGGCAGTCTTTGGTACTTTTGGTATTCCTTGCCAGCTCCATAATTCAAGTGCATCGATATTTCTTTGATCTTCCTTATTCAAGCTCCAACTTTCATGTGCTTTTGAGGCGATGGTGTGTGTCAGGCATTCCTTAGTCCTCAAGAGAACCTTGCTTTCCAATGTGTCCTTTGATCTCTTGGCTGAAACTTCCGTGAGCATCGATTGTGGTACAAGCCAGGAGGAATCCTTGACAACTTCCATCTTCTCTCCATGGATCATGATGTTGGCACTGTGGCGAGGAGTTTGGTCTTCTTTACATTGAGTTGTAATCCATACTGAAGGCTGTAATCCTTGATCTTCGTAAGCAAGTACTTTAAGTTCTCCTCACTTTCAGCAAGCAAAGTTGTCATCAGCATACCCACAGGTTGTTAATAAGCCTTTCTCCAATCCTGACGCCACATTCTAAGTCCCCATGCACTATTTCCTAGTGGAAAGTGTATGTGTAATTTTCAAGTGTATTTTTTATCATATCATTGATTTTCCCCAAATGCATTTTATTGTTAATGGTTCAACAATTTTGACAATTGTAGAATAAATTCTCACAAACATTTTTAGATAGCAACATTAATAAGCTTTTTAAACTGCAACTCTGTCTTGGTTTGATACTTGAAACAGTTAGTGGTATTACAGACAGTACTGTGCCATGCATCTTGATTACATGCAGCACATCTTTAACCAGTTAGCTGAGGTGGACTCAGTCCAGATTATTGTACGGCCTTGTAGGCTACAGTGAGCTAAATTATAGTGTGTATGTGGTTTCATGCTAATTCTGGAGAGTAGGCGACAAGTCAACATGATCAGATTTGCATTTTTAGGACATGGAGAATGAATATCGGGTCAAAAATGGAAGCTAGATAGGATACTCTTGTAGTAATGGAAAACAGAGGGTGAATTTTGAAGTCTAGACAATAGGACTTGGTAATGGATCGGAAGAGATGTGTGGAATCAGTTGTCAGGAGTTGAAGATGACTTCTAGTTACCAGCTTGAGCAACTAATTGAGTTAGCTGTACTGTTTACAGAGATAGGAAAAGCAACGTTGTCTCTGTTAAATTAGAGAGGAGCCTATTTGGAAGCTAAGTGGAGATGTTAAATGGGAAATTGAATAAATGATCTTAGAGCAGAGTGCAAAGGTTCAGGGCGAGTTGGATTTTGTGATTACAATAAAGAAACTTGACTTAGTTATTAGAATTTGGTGCTTCAACCCTAGGATTAGATGGCAGGAAAAATGAGGGAGAGTGATGATGGCTAGAAGCCAAGAGAAAAGCATTTAAAAATAAATGATCCCGTAGTGGAGGGCTGCTGAGAAGTCAGGTAACATGATTGAAAAGTGATGGATTAGATTTGACAACAGAGTCAGTGGTGAATTGAATGAGTGCCATATTTCATCCTTTCTAAAACATTAGCATCTCTGAAATGGGGATGTTCTTGCAGCAAATAACAAGTCATAGTTTAATGAGCAGTGCTGTTTTCCCTCTCTCGGTATTCCATGATACAGTTAAAGCGTCTTGGACTTGATGAAATGTGGTGACTTCAGTGGACTAGTGGCAATAGAACTGTCACCATGGATTGAGAAGAGACCAGGATGTGGTTATCCTTTTTCTTTCTCTTTGCAAAGATCATTTTGGTTTTCTAGCTATCGTTTTTGTGAACTGTTTAAAGCCAAGTGCTTTTTAAAAAAAATCATTTTATTGGGGGCTCGTACAACTCTTACCACAATCCATACATCCATCCATTGTGTCAAACACATTTGTACATTTGTTGCCATCATCATTTTCAAAACATTTTCTTTCTACTTGAGCCCTTGATATCAGCTGCTCATTTTTTCTCCTCCCTTCCCACTGCCCCTCCTTTATGAACCCTTGATAATTTATTTATTTTTTTCATGTCTTACACTGTCCAATAAAGCCAAGTGCTTTGAGTAAAACCAAATTCCTCATTGAAGAACAAAATCCACTGAGTGGATTCTGATGATAGCAACTGTATAGGACTGAGGAGAACTTCTCTGAATTTCTGCTACTAGATCTTTACAGCAGCAGCAGCAGACAGCCAGCACATCTTACTCCCATGGAGCATCTGGTTGGTAGCCCCGCACTAGTCCACTGTGTTTGCTAGGACTCCTTAATGAACAAAATAGCAATCATTTTTAGAAATTGGAGGCCCAAAAAGAAGCAGTTCCATAAGCCTATGTGTTAGTGTGAACCTTGATCATCTATGCCTTCATAATCAGTTCTCCATTCTTGGCACAAAGAGGTTTGCACAAAAAGTGCAATTGCTTAATGCTCACGTGATGGGTAGGAACCCAGGAACTTCCCATGCCAGCTCTCAAACAAATAAACAAGCAAACTTGCTGGTATGGCCCATTCAAACTCATAGTGATCCTTAAAACAGAGTAGAACCGCCCCTTTGGGTTTCTGAGACTACATCTTTCCAGGAGAAGAAAAGCTCATCTCTCTCACAAGGAGCTACGGTTCTGGCGGCCCGGCCACCTGAGCTCCTGATCTTTAAACCAAAAAAAACCAAACTCACTGCCAGCAATTATGCCTACTCATAGTAACTGTACAAGACAGGATACAGCTGCCCTGTGAGTTTCCGAGACTGTAACTCTGTATGGGAGTAGAAGGCCTGAGTTTCTCCGAAGGAGCAGCTGGTGGTTTCAAACTGCTGACCCTGCGGTTAGCAGGCCAACATGAACCTAGCATTGACTAATTGTTGCACCTTTGTCAAAGTGACTGACTTTGTGGGGTTAGCTTATCTATTAAACAACAGTAGTGGAGACAAATGCTCACAGATTACCTTTCCAGTTTTACAGTTCTATCATTGGAGCTTGGGAAAAACAAGTGGCATTATTATTTAGCTAGAGCTTCAGGACTATATGCCAGTGAATAGTTCATTTGTAATGAAGTAAGTAGCTTGTTTTACTCATCTATATTTAGAAGTCTGTTGAGTAAGGTGTCTTAAGCTACACCCTCTAGAAATTGGATAGGTTCCACACAACTACCACATGTAATTTTGTTCAACAAATGAAATAGCTGTTCTACCTCTTTTTGTGCCATCTTGTTACTGCCTCCAAACCAACTCACTGCCATCAAATCAATGGGTGGAAAAAACTGGAACTTCATACTTGGGCTACTTTATTTCTGTTAGTTTATTATAATGATAAATAATGATGTCTCATGTAATTTAGGATGTGAAGTGTATTCTAAAGGCAACTTATTACCGGCTGATGCTTTTTATCACGGCGTCTCGGCCAGTCTCCCTGCCTTCATCTCCCCACTTTTTCGCCTTTCATCGCATATCTCTGTGTGATCTGGCGACCTGTCTTGTTCAATGGACTGTAAACTCTTTAAGGATACAAATTTATGTCTGGCACTCTTAGGTACTTAGCAAATAAAATTTTCGATGAGTGAGCACAGAGTGTGGCCAAGAGAAAAGCCTTATGCATGAAGGTGACAGAAAAGGAATGGTTGGAGAGACATAAAGAACTAGAAAAGTTCAGTTATCACCTATAGGATGCACTATGTTAAATACAGCGAAGAAATCCGGTATGTAGGGGACTGAAAAGTGTTCGCTTTGTTTATAAATAACTAGTTTTTGAATGAATAGAGTTTCAGAAAATGGTGGTAGGAATTAATGGGGGGAGGGCAAGGTTGTGGGGAAGAGTGAATGGGAGGTGTGGACTCCTTTAAAAGAGTTTGGTGCAGAAGATGAAGACAGTAGAAGGTTGCTAGAGAAGAATTTAGCGTCAAGAGAAAGTGTTTTCCCTTTTTGTTTTGTTTTTTTCGGTGGAAGACACTTGAGGATATCCATGGACCATAGCCAAGAAACAGAAGAAGTTGAAAGTAGATTTTAAAAAACGAGAAAGGGGACAGCCACTTGATTAAAGCAAAGTCACTGCTATTGAGTTAATTGATTCTGGCTCATAGTGAATTTGTAGGACAGAGTAGAAAGCCTCATCTTTCTCCTGCTGAAAGGCTAGGGAATTCAAATGGCTGACCTTGAAATTGGCAGCCCCCAATGCAGAACCCATTCCTTGTGGGAGTGAACAGCCTGGGGGATAGAAAGACCGCAGCACAAAGCTGTGCATAGGCAGAGGAGTTAATTCTGACAAGAGGGAGGATTTTTCAACCTTGGAGGCTGGGTAAGAATGGGTGGTGTAGATATGGCAGTCCCTTCCAGATCTGTGATTCTTTGAGATCTGTTAGGTAGCAAAATCATGGATATTGATCTAGGGCTTAAGAACATAAGTCTGGAGAACATTGTGATGTCAAACAAATAATTAAATGGCTTATATTTATGTCCGATTTGAGGTCAGTTAGTCTTTTATGGTTTTCATGTTTGTGTGTTTTTAAAAGGTATAGTAGATGGTTATTTAATGGAATTTCTAGCTATGCGTTGCTTACCTTATCAAGTGTTTCTGAAAAGTCTTTTCCAGTAAGTCCATTGTTTTTAAAAATGCTGCTGTTACTTTTAAAGCTATATCCTGGCTGTTCTAATGTTTTAAGATTTCGGAAGGTGGGATTTATAATGAAAGCTGACCATGTAATTTTCCTGTAAGTTGCTCAGGTCTCAACAGATATTATACACTTCTAAATCTGCATCCCTTGTATACTTCATTCAGCACTCCTGACTTTATCACCTAATTCTTACTTGTGTTTTGCTTTTAGTTATTACAAGAGCTGTGTACAGTGTTTAATGTAGATTTACCATGCCGTGTGAAGTCTTCCCAATTGGGAATTATCAGCAATAAACAGACGCATACCAGCGCAATAGTGAAGCCACAGTCCAGCTCCTGTTCCTATATCTGCCAGCACTGCCTCGTGCACCTCGGCGACATTGGTGAGCTTTTGGTGTAACGGAATCAATAATGCGGTCATCCGTCGGAGTAGCCACAGAAAGAAACGTTTCCATTAAGCTAAGCATAAACACACAGATTAGATTATCATCAGAAAATTAGAAATTGTGTTTTCTTGTTTGTGAATTTAGAATTTTTCAGTGTTCTGGGATTGGCAGCGGATCTTGAAGTAACTTTCATGTTAAGATTTAAATTTTATTCAGACAGTGAAAATTACTTGATACAGAAAGATACTAAATAGCAAAAATATAATCACAACTTGTTTTCAATTTTTTCTGAAGTCTGTAGTCTTGGAATTATGGGGTTTATAAATTACTCCTCCTAAAGCTTATTTCCTTCCTACCGTACTACAAGCTTATTTGTAACTTGCTTCCTTTTAAAAATAAAACATTTCCATTTTGTGTGTTTAATCTAGGAATGTAATTTGATATTGATTCTTGTTCATCCCTTTAAGGTGGCCTCAAGAGGTTGTAAAACAAATTAACTATAGGATTGTGTCCTGACTGTCCTCACATCACAAGGACTGCAGAGCACCAGTGCTCTCACACGGGAAGGTCGTAGGTTGCTTAGCGTCACACCATTGGCGGCCGGCGGGCTCACCTCAGAGAGAGCTGTTGTTTTCAGTGAGAGTCGATGAATGGAGTTCTTAGGTTGCTTTTGCTTTAACTGTATCTTTGCACACACATAACAGGTTGCATTAGGTGTGAGGCATTTTTCACAATCACGTTATAAAATATTGAAGAAATACATAATTTTCAGATCATATTGTATAGTGTTTTTTGTTTTGTTTTGTTTTTAAGTGCCATATAACTCACCCCTTCTTGTGGGCCGGCTCCAGGTCACCAGCATAGTCCATAGTGGGAGCTGGTGATGCATGACACTGGAGGACCTGAAAATGGGGGCTAGGTAAGCTTTACAATTGGTTCCATGCTGAATGTCCCAAGTACGGGAAGCCTGGACGGACGCTCCACACATAATCCTATAGTTAATTTGCTTTAAAGTGTTTGATGTCTGGCTTGAAGCTTTAACTAACTGCAATGTCTTTACTATTTTAAGACTTAAAAATCTAGGCGATCTGAAAATACACCTCTACTGGAGTTTTGTTGTTTTTAACGTTAAATTTTCTTTCCTCCTCTCAGCTCGATACAGAAACCAGACCAGCCAGGCAGAGTCCTACTATAGGCATGCAGCTCAGCTTGTCCCCTCCAATGGTGAGTGGGCCTGTCAACTTGAGGTTGACCATGATACCTTATTCTCCACAGCAATAAGAAAAATGACTTAAGACTTACCTTTCAAATTTCATGAATCTTTTTCCTTTAATCTGTAATTCCTTAAGACCTGAAATGACTTAATAAACATTTTTTTTAAAAAAGACTTGGTAGTAAAGCAATATACAGTCAGTTGCCAGATTAGGGACAAATGTTGTTCTTTAGTGTGTCTTTAAATCAAAATGTGAGTCTGACCATTTAGTTACAGGTGTTTGTCTTAGTATGTAGTGTACGTTTCTATGTTAAACAACATCAGAGAAGCACTTCCAAATATACTAAGAACTTATTTAATAATACAGTCATGGTAATGCTTTGATGTGCTTTGCAAAGTAGTGCCCTTTTATTATTATGAACCACTGCATGTACCTTGAATTTTTTAAATAATAGACTTTACAGTGGTTGGTTCTTAACATACAGATTGTATGTAAATTGGACATTTGTAATCCGGACACCCCCTGTAAATGAATATCCCTTTATATTATGTAAAATTGTTCCCACAACTCTGGCTTTCTTAATTTCTTACAGAATAATTCTTTAATACTACCATTTTCTCGCTGGTAAATATCTCTTACTACTTAGAACGTCATGCTTTTGTCTTGTTACTCCTCTGACATAGGTGATAGCAATGATTCCTGAATTAAATTGCAGCACATACTCGGTTGCTGTCAGCCCTTCTTGTCAGTCCACATTGAAAACCCTTTTGGTTCTAAGCAAGAGTAGCAGTCTGGTCATGCCTTTGTCTTACACCGTCCGTGCTGCTTCCACTCTACAGTGCCAGAGTGGAGGACAGTGAGTCAGTCCCTGGCTCACACATGTCCAACTGTGACCAGCTGCTCGTGCATTCCCTTTAATATTAAGGGAATTTGCCCTCACTCAATTGAACCAACCCCTTACTTGAAATGAGCTCACCACATTCACCTTTTCTTGCACTAAAGGAAAGGAGGGCTTCAAGGAAGAATTCAAGTATCTTTCCATTCTGTTTTCACAAACTTCTTGAAGCCCCCGTGTGCACCTGTTCTGGCCTAAAGTGGACATGGGCCCGCCAAGGAATGAGTTTCCTTCATGACCCACGGACGGCCTGTGGTTTGACAGAGACCATTTGGCTCCCACCACCGAAAATACGTGTGCTTTTTCACATTATGCTCATTTGTAATGTATTAATCGTAGAATTGATGCTTCTGTATTCGGAAAGCAAGACTGTGCATCTTGGACTGCGTTAGACTCTACATGCTCTCTTCTAGGTCAGCCGTACAATCAGTTGGCTATTTTAGCTTCTTCCAAAGGAGACCATTTGACCACCATCTTCTACTACTGCAGAAGTATTGCTGTGAAGTTCCCTTTCCCAGCTGCCTCCACTAATCTCCAAAAAGCACTTTCTAAAGCACTGGAAAGGTAGGGTGACTTTTTTCCAGGAGAGATCTGGGACCCGATAGCCCTGCCCTCAACTGTAGTGTGCAGAAAAGCGAGGGCCAGCTCTTCGTGCTCCTTTTCCCGTATTTTCCCCGTGGCTGGTTTGTAGTCCTTGAATTTCAGCCACTGCCTGATTGGTTCCCAGGAGAAGAGTACAGGCTGCTGGAGACTGACTGGTCTGAGAGTGGTACAGGGAAAAGTGGCTGCGGAGTCGTCATCTTGTGTATCAGATAGCTGCCAAGCCTCCTTCAAGAGATGGCAGCCGTTTTGCTGCCTGCTACTCATGGAAGTTTTTTTTTCTTCCCCCTTTCAGCCGGGATGAGGTGAAAACCAAATGGGGTGTTTCTGACTTCATCAAGGCCTTTATTAAGTTCCACGGTCATGTGTACCTGAGTAAGAGCTTGGAAAAGTTGAGCCCACTTCGAGAGAAATTGGAAGAACAGTTCAAGGTTAGATTTCAAGAGTGGAGAGTATGTTTTTGCCTTAGTTTATATAAGACTTGGAAGCAACTCATATAACTGTGAACTATTACGGAAAATGACTTTTGAAGTATATGAAATGCTTGTATATGACATCTCAACATACAGTGTGTCTGCATAAATATTGTGGCAATGTTGTCACTGGGGAGCTACCATCCAGGGGTGAGGCAGACAGTCACTTACTCCTTCTCAGTCCCTTCCTCGAGTTTGTCATATTCTGTGTGATGATTCCTATGTTTTTACATGGTTTGTTGTGCTTCAGTCTTTCAGAAATTGTAGTACTTTAAAGGAATGAAGGTTATTTAACAGGAATATATTTTGCTTAAATAAGGACATAAAAACTCAACTTTGTTCTGTCCACATATTTGGAAATATAACTAGTATGTGGAGGGATAAGCATTTGAATATTATTTGTTCAGTAGTCGAACACTTGACTGTTGTATCCCTCCCTCACTGTTTACAGGCACTGAAAGCAATAGTAAGCAAAATAATTAAAAGGAACATTTTATGTTCTTTTGGTTTCATTTTGGTTTTTGCTCAGTCTCTCTGTGCTTGGAGAATTGTCTTTAAGTGCTTTATAGCTTTTCTACAAATGTTTGCAAGGTCGCATATTTCAAGAGATTATAGGACTTAAAGAGACACGATTCAGCCAAAATAGGCAGTGGGGAATCATTTTCGTAAATGTGTTAGGCTGGATTGTCTAGAGAAACAAAACCACTAGCACTCATATATGTGTAAGAAACCACTTTATATCAAGAAGACAGCCCAGCCCCATCCAAATCAAGGCCATGGGTCCGATACTAACTAGCCCTCTTCAGACTGCAGGCTGCTGATGCAGAGAAGTGAAGCGGGAAGCCTGTGGGCGCAGAGTTGTGGCCTGATCGAGAGATTGAAGTTCAGGTTGACATAAAATATAACTGCCACACCAGATAATCAATTTTTAGTTGAACCTGTCTATGTGCAATAATTATAATAGAATACAAATAGATTCTTTTCAAATAAGTTTTTGAAGTCCTCTGCTTTTTCTACTTAGTGGCTGTTTAACTTCACCCAAGATGTATTCTTTATAGGATTGGGTATATGAAAGAAGAGCTAATTTTCAATTCCCTAGGCTCTTCAGCCTGGTGAACAATGGACAATCCAAATGGTTTTGTAATAAGTATTCCTATATATGGATAGTTACTGTGAGTATAAAGAGGTTGTAGATTCTCCATTTTTGGAGATCTTAAGAGTAGGTCTGACAGCTGCCTTTCTCGAATGGTTCAGGCACAGTTGTACTAACAACCAGAGGACTGGACTGAATGATTAGAGCTTCCACCTCTGGTGCTGTAACAAATATACCCTCTAACTGGAGGCAGAGGAGCCCTGCTGGCCTACTGGGGTATGTGTTGGACTGCTTAACAGCAAGGGCAGCCATTTGAAACCATGTCAGAAAGACAAACCTTACTACTCCTGTAAAGATGTGCAGTCTCGGAAACACTGGGAAAATTCTACTCTGTCCTATACAGAGTATTGTAGTGTGTATAGGGGACACTGTTTCGGAATCAACTCTGATATTGGGGCAAGAAGAGACTGCACTGGTAAGGGCTATTCTATAGGAGAAATCCTTGATGATTTCTAAATTATAATTTTTTTCATGTCTTACACTGTCCAGTGTCTCCCTTCACCCACTTTTCTGTTGTCCATCCCCCAGGGAGGGGGTAATATGTAGATTGGTTCCCCCTTTCTCTCCCACCTTCCCCTTCTCCCCCTGATATCGCTACTCTCATTATTGGTCTTAAGGGGTTTATCTATCCTGGATTCCCTGTGCTTCCAGCTCTTATCTGTACCAATGTGCATCCTATGGTGTAGCCGGATTTGTAAGGTAGAATTGGTATCATGAGAGTGAGCGGGTGGGCAGGGAGAATTAAAGAACTAGAGGAAAGTTGTATGTTTCATTGGTGCTGCACTGCACCCTGACTGGCTCGTCTCCTCCCCATGACCCTTCTGT